TGGGTGATTTTTTATTTATTTTATGTCTTTTGGAGCTCTATTTTTTTTCGGGTGTTACAAGTTGGTATCAGAGCTGTAGCTTAAGCGAACTAGGTATGAAAATAAGACGCCTAGACTTAAGCCGTTATTGTAAATATTAAGTTGTGTAGCGTAGGTAGTAACCCTTAAGATAGAAAGAACCTTAGAGTCAATGGGGTTGCATAAATCATAATCTGTAGTGATAGTATTGAGGATCCTTATGTATAACCTATTCAAAATTTCATTTAGTTAATGTCATTTTGAGTAAGTTGTTACATTCGTGTGCTTGAACTCACTGTTAGTACAACAAATTTTGATTATGCATGTACCATGTTATGTTAGTTCCATAATCTTCCAATCCTAACTCTCTCTCCCAATCTTTTGCTTAGCAGCCTTTATGGTGAATACTCGGAGTAGACGGGATACCTCATCGAAAGGCCTCGCAGTGACCGAATCCACCGCGGATCAACCGCCTCGACCCACGATCGTAAGGGTGCATCCTAGGCAAAACACCTCGGGCGATGGAGTTGGCCACGTTCCCCAAGTTAACCTCGTCACCTCCAATCCTGTCTTAGAAGAGGAAACCCCGGAGTCAAGAATGATGGGCACAATGATGGGCGTTATGAACAGAGCTGTGGCTCAGCAACAGGAGTTCTTTATGAAGTTGTTGGAAGATAGGGATGCCAACAATCGTAAGCATGAAGCGGTTGCCTAGAACGTAACCATCGTGGGATCCGGGGGTACCGGAAATGGAGTTCCAACTCAAGAGCTAGCAACTATTGATGCAAGACAACTGGGAAGATTTTGTTCTTACAAAACGTTTTTGAGTTGCAAACCACCGGAGTTTGCGGGGTCAGATGATCCCGTGGCATGCATGAACTGGCTTCGAGAAATTGAGCAGGCCTTCCGGGCTTGCGACTGTGATGATGGGCAAAAGGCAAAATTTGGCTCTCAAATGCTTCGGGGTGCGGCCCTCACTTGGTGGAACGTCGTCATATCAACTATAGAGGCTCAGGAGCTAGCCAAGATGAGTTGGGCCACGTTTAAGGAGAAAGTAATGGAAGAATACTGCAACGAACTAGAAATGGACCGTATTGAAGAGGAGTTCCGGACCCTTAAGAAAGGGAACTTGTCAGTGAGAGACTACACATGATTGTTCATGGAAAAACTGAATTTGGTGGGACATGTGGCTCCAACGAAAAAAGAAAAGATGAAAGCTTATCTCAAGGGACTGCCCGCAGAAATGATGGTTATGGTTAGGAACTCAAGGGCTTCCACCCTTAGAGAGGCAATTGAAGAAGCGAAAGTCATGGAAGCGGTTTATGCTAAGGGGAGAGAGGAGAAAGGAGTAAGTAGTGAGAAGAGGAAGTGGGAAGGTCAATACGCACCTTCAAAGAGACCAAGCCACCTCAACCACAACAATCGAGGAGTTTACCCTAGACATGAGACAAGGTGGTGCTCCAAATGCCGCACTAAACACCATGGACCATGTGCCCCCAACCCTAATCCTGCAAAATGTTTTAAATGTGGGAAGTCAGGCCACACACGAAATGAATGCCCTATCAAAGAACCCATCTGTTACGGATGTGGAAAGCCAGGCCACACACGAAATGAATGTCCTATGAAAGGACCCGTCTGTTTCGAATGCGGGGAGCTGGGTCACATCAGGAACAATTGTCCGAAGGTGAAGGCGGGAGGGGGGCAGGGAAGAAAAGAAAATACCCCGAAGACAACCGGTCGAGCCTTTCAGATGACTGCGGAGGAAGCCAAGGCATCGTCGGATGTGGTGTCGGGTATGTTCCTCATTGACTCCATACCTGCTCACGTACTTTTTGATTCAGGTGCTTCATGTTCTTTTATGTCTACAACATTCTACCATCTATTGCATACGCCCCCTAGTACTCTAGAAGATGCTTTGATCATTGAATTAGCAGATGGTAGTTAAGTTCTAGTGCGTGAGGTTGTTAGGGGTTGCGTGTTGGAAATCGAGGGAAAGGAATTTCGGGTGGATCTTATACCCATGTCCATCGGCGGATTCGACATCATCATTGGAATGGACTGGTTAGCAAAGAACCAAGCGGAGATCTTATGTTCTAAGAAATTAATTAGAATTCCTTTGCCGGACGCGAGTGCCGTACTGATTTATGGAGAAAGGAATAAGGGAGACGTAGTACTCCTGTCGGTGGCAAAAGCGCGCAAATGCTTAGCTAAGGGGTGTCCCTCATTCATTGCATACGTGTTGGATGCCAAACTAGAAAAAAAGGAGATTGAAGAGGTGAAAGTGGTCAACGAATTTCTTGATGTATTCCCGGAGGATTTACCCGGTTTGCCACCAGTTAGGCAACTGGAGTTTCGAATCGATCTTTTCCCGGGAACCGCACCGCTTGCCAGAGCCCCTTACCGATTGGCTCCTTCTGAGATGCAAGAGTTAATGTCACAATTGAATGACCTTCTTGAGAAAGGATTCGTCAGACCGAGTTCGTCACCTTGGGGAGCTTCGGTCTTATTTGTAAAAAAAAGGACGGTACCATGAGAATGTGTATTGACTATTGGGAACTCAATAAGGCGACCGTAAAGAACAAATATCCTCTCCCTAAAATTGACGACCTCTTCGACCAACTTCAGGGAGCCAGTTGTTTCTCTAAAATCGACCTTCGTTCAGAATATCACCAAGTGCGGGTGAAGGAAGATGATGTGGCAAAGACAGCTTTTAGAACGCGTTACGGACATTACGAATTTTGGTCATGCCTTTCGGTTTGACGAATGCACCGGCGGTATTCATGGACTTGATGAATCGAGTGTGCCGACCATTCCTTGACAAGTTTGTAATAGTGTTCATAGATGACATTCTTATTTATTCCAAAGACGAATCGGATCATGAGCAACATCTTCGGGAAATTCTCGAAATGTTAAGAAGGGAGAAGTTGTATGCAAAATTCTCCAAGTGTGATTTTTGGTTAAAGGAAGTTCAATTCTTAGGTCACGTAGTCACTCGTGACGGGGTGAAAGTGGACCCATCCAAAATCGAGGCAATGATGAATTGGGAGCCACCAAAGAACCCATCCGAAATCCGAAGTTTCTTGGGTTTGGTGGGTTACTATAGAAGATTTATTCAAGATTTCTCTAAGATCGCTTCTTCATTAACAGCTTTAACTAGGAAGAATGTGAAGTTTATCTGGACTGAGAAACAGGAACATGCCTTCAGAACCCTCCAGAAGAAATTATATGAAGCACCAATTCTCTCCTTGCCGGAGGGGTCCGAAGACTTCGTAGTCTATAGCGACGCGTCGAAGATGGGATTGGGATGCGTCTTGATGCAAAAGGGAAAAGTGATTGCCTACGCATCAAGACAACTCAAAGATCACGAGAGGAACTACCCCACCCATGATTTGGAGTTAGCAGCGGTAGTGTTCGCCTTAAAGCTTTGGCGACATTACCTTTATGGTACAAAGTGCATGCTCTTCACCGATCACAAGAGCTTGAAGTACATTTTCGATCAGAAGGATCTAAACATGAGACAACGGCGTTGGCTCGAGCTGCTCAAAGACTATGATTGTGAGCTACTTTACCATCCTGGAAAAGCGAATGTGGTGGCGGATGCCTTGAGTCGAAAAGGGCACGGTAGAGGGACAGGAGCTATACTTACCAGAATCGATCTAGTGTCCAGTTTAATCGAACGGATCAAAGTGGCGCAATCCGAGGCACTTTTAGAAGAACACCTCAAGAGCGAAGTAATGACAAAACAACAATTACTATTGACAGAGGATGGTCGTGGCTTGAAGTTATTTCGAGGACGTATATGGGTACCCAAGATTGGAGGCAATCGTGAACTGCTACTGGAAGACGCACACAAGTCTAAATACTCAATTCACCCGGGTAGCACCAAGATGTACCGAGATTTGAAATTGACCTATTGGTGGCCTGTCATGAAACTGGATGTGGCTCGTTATGTAGAGAGGTGCATGACTTGTTTACAAGTGAAAGCGGAACACCAACGACCTTATGGTAGCCTCCAGTCCCTAGAAATCCTTGAGTGGAAGTGGGAACACATTACAATGGATTTCGTGACCAAACTGCCAAAGACTTTAAGAAGTCATGATACGATATGGGTAGTGGTCGATCGGCTGACAAAGAGCGCTCACTTCCTGGCTATGTGTGAATCCTTGCCAATGGATAAGCTTGCCAAGCTATACATAGATGAAGTAATCTCGCGGCACGGTATACCTTTATCCATAGTGTTAGATCGGGATAGTCGATTTACTTCCCATTTCTGGAGCGGCTTACAGAAAAAATTGGGCACGAAAGTGAAGTTGAGTACGGCTTACCATCCTCAAACCGATGGTCAAAGCGAACGAACCATTCAAACCCTCGAAGACATGCTCAGATCGTGTGCTATCGATTTTGGCGGGAATTGGGACTCTCACCTACCCCTTGTGGAGTTCGCCTACAACAATAGTTATCATTCAAGTATCGGGATGGCGCCTTTTAAAGCTTTATATGGTCGGAAATGTAGGACTCCAGTGTGTTGGCTTGAAGCGGGTGAGAAACAGTTCGCCGGCCCTAAAATCGTTCAAGAAACGGTCGACAAGGTGAAGTGTATTCGTGAACGCTTAAAGGCGGCTCAAGACAGGCAAAAGAGTTACGCAGATAGGAGGAGTAATGGTTTTGGTCGAAATGAGATGAACTTGGATGATCCTTTTATAGAAGAAATAATAGGCTCGAGTAATGGTTTGATCACTATAGGTAGAACAACCGTT